ATGTGTTACAAACAAATCAACAAGCATTTATTTAACACATGTACATTACCGAGCTACAATAAACATACCGGGGGAAAGAAATCTTCAGAAGAATGAGAAAATGAGGAGGGTAATAACTAAAAAAAACTTTAATAGTTTATTCAAAGTCACTGGGGCTTTGTTCTCTGTATTCTAGCTCTAAAGTCATTTAGAAAAGCACAGATATAATCTACACGTCCAACATTAGCTGCAAAGATACCATCCACTTTAAAGAGCAGAAAAGAAAAAAAAAACACCTTTCTTTGAAAAAGCAAACATCTTAAGGTTACAGAGAAAGAAAGGGCTGAGTGTCATTCAAAGTAGCAGGAACTGTGTCAAGCTGCTTATTGAGTCTGTCAGTTCCTGAGAAGCCACTGCTACAGAATACTGTGCCGGCACTGTTAATATTGTTTTTCCTCCTGTAAAAACCACAGTAAACCTGATGAGCCAATACACGTTTTTACAACACACATACACAAGTTTACAGCTTAATTTCAACTGTCTGTGCCTGTCAAGATATTTGCTGCTACCAGTGTTTTTGGTTTGCAATTCAAAAAGTGACTTTCCAGGTCAAAGCTCCAATTTTTTGCTTGCTTTTAAAATCAAACAGCTGTGGAGAAATGTGCTAGAACACATTCTGGAATGCTGAACAATGCAATGCAGAAATGACATTTGGTCATATTGTCTGCACAGAGGCACAATAAAACTGTAAAGTTTCTGCAGAGAGATGTTATGTTGTAAAGGGAGTCTTGGGGCTACACTTCTCACAGTTATCACAGTAAGACAGACATATTTCTGTATTTTACTGGCCCAGTTTCGGTGAATTACCTTGCTAAGCCACACAACAGTAGTGCCTCAGCTATGATTTGTACCGAAAACCTTCCAGTGACAATTCAAGAACCCTGCTGCCCTCAGTACCTCACAAGTGCTGCTTGAAAAAAATGCATTTAAGTTCTAACAAAACAGAGCAAGGATCTGACAACGTACCTATAGTGCACAAAACCATGGAAAGTACCTTAGAAACATTTCTGTGCTAATTTTAGTATCTGTTTAAAATTAACTGGTTTCCGACCATCGTCCGTCTTCTTTTACAGGCCCGTGATAAGAAAATGAAATTGGGGTCGGAAGAGGACTCTAAACGGAATTCAGCTTTTGGTGATGTCACCTCAAGTTTCCTTTGCTATTTTAAACCCTTTGGCGGGTGCTCTGTAGAATTCTCTCATCACAGCCTTGGAGGTAAAAGTGAACAAATATTAAAACACAAAGCAGAACAAAATAACTGAAAATAAGAAATTCCAGTGCAACACAAAATTACAGATGTGCAGGGCTCACACAAGTGGGAGTGCCACTTAAATTAAAGCATCTACACCTGCAAATACATAGCAAGGGTTGCTAAGTTTGTTTCTTAAAAGACATAAAAGACAACAATCTAGTCCCTACTGAATGGCATCACGAGTAAGAGCCACAACAAATATCCAGTGACTTTCAGTCCTGTCAGATACAGCGGAGCTTTCCCAGGGTCAGTGACTCAGAACTTCCCTCTAGGCTACAATATTAAAAAAAGAAAATCAATACCTAATTTCTTAGAAAAATGTTCTTCCTATTTATAGCAGGCGCACTGAAGCACTGGGCTCGAGCATGAAGGCATATCCATGTAGGATGTGTCCTTGCAGGGTCCAGATCTGGAGCACAGGCAGTCAAACGGCTCTGGGCTGCTGGGAGAAAACAAGCTGTGGTTCTGGAAGTGGGTCTAGCTTGAATCTGCCCGCAGCACAAAAGGAGAGATAGGGCCACAAAGCAAAATGCTGATTGTCAAACAGCACATCGAAACATGGCTCAGGACATTTAGACCTGAAATAGCCAGCACAAATAATGTTTCCTTTTTTCTACTGATTTATTCCTGTTTTTATATTAATGTTGGCTTTACAGAGTTTAAGTACCAAGTCTTTCATGCCATGATGATTGTGCACATTTATTCATTGTCGTATATGGTACCATGTCATATTCTTTCTTTTCCCTGAAAAGCCAACAGGCAAACTGAACATAAATAATGATCCTGCAGGACATGCTCCTGTTGGTCTTGGTTTTTGTTTGGAGCTGATGGATACGTACACTTTGATCAAATTTGTCAAATCGTGTTTTTGTACCAGAAGATCCCCATAATCACAGCACATACTGTACTAAAACTTTGTCTCCTTTTTCCTCCTTCCTGCAGCAATTAAAATCGCCCGGGTATCTGGCGCCTGTTGGCGGTCATGGTTTGGTTTTTAATGTATGCAAAGCTGGACTGAATTGCAGAAAGATAGAGGTGACAAAGCGCCGTATTGTCCGTACAGCAGCTGGTCTGTCGGGCTCACAGCTGAGGATTCAAAGCTTTCCCTCAGTGACAACAGAACGGAGATCTATAGAATACGATTTGTCCTGCCCAGCTTGTAAAATGTAAAAAAGCAATGTGCAGGACTATTCTAAGTAATACTGTTAAAGCTATGGCGCACAATTAATCTAAGATGGTACAGAGCGATCGTGCACCATCAAAACGGATTTAAACTAATTATGAGATAGGACAGACACACTGACTGGATGACTGATATAGCAGAACAGCGAACTGAAGCCCAGAATTTCTTTTTCTTCTTTCAAAAGCATCCACATGGTCCACCTGCTACCGGGTAACTCAAAAGAGAATTACATGGATGACATAGCTGTAACTAATATTTATTGATTTCATTTTTTTTCTCCTCGTTGGGGGGTATAATCGTTACAATAAGGAATAATTCAAATGTAAGCACGACAGAAATCAGAGGCTCGTTTTACGAGGGGGTTACCACGGCATTATTTCAACCGGGATTTCAGGGCTCAGAGTGGCACAGCGGTGCGCATTACTGCCTGGCAGCACTGGAGATCTGGGTTCAATTCCAGAATGGACCTGGGGTTTCTGTCTGTGTGGACTCTGTTCCCCTCTTGATCACAAGGGTTTCCTCCAACAGTCCATCTTGGTAGGTTAATTGGCTCCTGGAAAACTTGCCCCTGGTGTGAGTGTGAGTCAGTGTTTGTGGCTGCCTGCCCTGTGATGGACTGGTGTCGCACCCAGGGTGTACATTGCCTTGCGGCTGTGGCTTGCCAGGATTACACTGCAGCCCCCCTGTGACTGCATTGTATGAAGCAGTTAGAAAATGGATGGATGTCAGGTGTCAAGAAATGGCAGAAAATGTGCAACACGTCAATCAATTAATCAATTAATGCAAAATCAATTAATGCCTTTTATGCCAGCAAAATTTGTGCATCTTGCCGCTATAGATGGCTACTTGTAGTGTTACATGAGTGCACATTAAATATATCCGTAGTCTACACAAATACAAAGAGGCACTGCAGCAAATTTGCCATTGCTAGAATTGAAACCTGTCGATAGACCCCAATAACAATGTTTTGTTATACATTTTGGGCTATCACGGCATTTCCTATTAATTTCGCTAGTCCGGGAACATCAGAGCACTCAGAGACTCCTTTCACACTCGCTATTACATTATGTGCATGGATTTTTTTAAAGTGGTTTATGCGCTTTCAGGGGATACGGTTTCAAAAATAACGACGTTTGATGGAGAAATGTAAGATAACAACAGGGCCAGCGATTTAAAAAACAAACAGAAGGTGGAAAATGTCGTAATATCCCGGTGAAACAGTTTAATGATGCGGCCTTCCACAAGGATCAATGTCTCACGTCAAAAGCCGCGCTGAAATACTAGCGAGCTTTTATTTGGAATCGTGTTATCACTCATGACGTGCTTTTCACTGCATCGTAAATTTACACCGAGATTTTTTTTTCTTTCCCCACGCACTGGGTTCTGGGTTGTCGGGTTTTTTTTTTGTTTATCTCTTCGCTTGCAGTTCCTGAAACAGATCCTCGCACGCATTCACAGGTGCGTAGTGCGCCTTGACATTGAAAATACATTCGAGCCGTCTTCAAACTTCACTCTCTGCAGCACATGGTGAAACTATTACTTCCTGCAGTCTCACCGTGGAGATGATGAACTGCACACAACCTCACGCAAATTGCTAAAGACATTTTTTAACGCACAATTCCCCTACTTGCTAAAATTTCTAAAGCCCTGTTTAGAACCCCAGTAGGCTGTGTATAAAGGATGTTGTTTTTTCCCACCCTGCGCCGCTTTCTCTTCTTGACCCGAGCAGAAGCCACACCGCTGGGTAAGATCTAGTGTAAAGGACGCCACTTCTCTCCGGTTGAAATACAATATTAAATAAAATACACGTTAACCTCCGCGTACGCTCCAACTCTGCAAGATACAATCCCAGTATTAGGAGCGGCGGTAGTAATGGAGCAGTGAAAAACTGATTTTTTTTTTATTCCATCTCCCCGACTGCACATAGCCTGTCGCTCCGATGGGGATGTACCGTACAGTCGTGGCACGGATGTTGCAGTGCTAGTACCGTGTTCATCGTCTGATCAATGTCAAGCTGATGCGACTGAGTACAGCATCAGACGCACTTTCACGGCAGCCAGTCCGCTCGCCGTAAAACAGCTCCTCCAGACCGTCGCCCTGGGATATATACTTATATATTTGAGCATTGCGCATTGGTTTCATTATCCTGCCAGGTAGCAAGCTAACGTTTTGCGCTCTCCGTGGTACGATTTTTTTTTTAGCCTGTATCTGATGCTCTTTGTATTTTCCGCACTCATTAAACTACCTGCTCATCCTAAAAACCGAAGCAGGGAACCGGACCAGCATCCAGCTCTTGCACACTCCGCTGCGGACGGCAGCCGGTTTCTGTCCCGATACACAAAGTGGAGATGAAGTTAACCCACTTAGCTGGAGGGGGCTACGCAGCTCGCATTCAAGCTCAGGTCTGTATGCGTGCAATGCTGTCATTCAGCCACTTTCCACAAAGTTACATAATGTCGCCTGACAGCGCGCCGCGCCGCCCGAGAGCCTCATTTGGAGAGCCGGGCGAGCCGGTTCCGAACTCACCCTCCGACTGGACCCGTATTTCGCCGATGACCAGTGCGGCCTCTTTTCTGCACCTGGCCCGGCCGCATCTTCCTCGTCTCCTAGCAGAGCCGGGGATCCCGAACCCGAGTCCTCCCCCTCCTCCAGGTCCTCGCCCTCCTCCACCTCTCCCGTCTTAAGTCGCTTGGGCGCTCTCTCGTATTCCTCAAGCAGGGACATCGCAGCTCCGAGCTGGCGATCGGGAACACCGACGCGCAGACACACGCACGTCGATAGGCTATTTTTATTTAAAGTTGCTAAAGCGCCTCTGGGAAACCTGTCGCCTGGACCGCCTCTGCTGCTCGCCGGGCTCCGTGCATCAACCTACGCCGAATGTCACCCAAGTGCGGAGGCTGCTCTGCTCATCGGCTTCGTCCCTCTTTTGTTCACATTGCAGTTCTGCCAGCCCGGCCCCGCCCTCGCCGCCTTCTCATTGGCCGGGCGGGCCCTCGCCGCGGCCAGCGCCCGCCGCCGATTGGGCGAGGCGGGTGCCTGTCTCCCGGGCGAGGGGGCGGAGGGGGGGGGGGACGCGACCGGTCCGAAAGGCTCCCTTGAGCAGGCACGAGCACGGGCTCCCTGTCAGTGACGTTCAGGCTGGCGGAGGTCTGACAGATGCGAGGCGCGCAAGATACTACTGCTGCTGTTGACGATGCAGGGGCAAAAACAGACGCTTTGATGGGACTTCACGTCTCACAAACCAACTACCACCCCTTGGCAGTTGAAGTGCCTTGCAGCGGCGGAAACCGTCTGGGAGAGAGATTTAAATTGCTCCCCAGAGCATGACTCCCGTCTCTTCAGACATTTACCCAGAGCCTACATTGCGCAGAGACGACCATTGTGTTTTTCTATCAACACATATACACACTGTTTTATCAGTTTTTTCTTTTGAAGACATGAGATTAGGGACTAGCGCTTTATTTAAATGTGCACGCAGAAGCTGGCGGATCAGATAGGTCTGTCTGTCGAGAGGGAAGAATGAGTGGGTAGTTTTGAGGTCTGTTTGTATGGTGACAGATTAGATACAAATGACTTGCACTTTTTTATTTTCATGTAGCAGTAGTGCAAGACGTCGTGCGCACGCAGTTAATTATTTGGGGAATGTTGCTGAAATTCATTTTTTGTTTCCTTTTATACTTACATGTTTACATTTGTGTGTGTAAAGAAGATGAGGTTTAAAAACACTGCGATCCCTTATTTGCCGAGTTAAGTCATGTGAATACTGATTCCTCACCGTTGTACTCCGTGCAAATGCTATTACCTTATTTAAAAAAAAACCTTATTACTGACCTGTGCCTGAAAGACTTCCAAATGATTATTCAGTCTGTGATTAGGAGTCTCAATGTCGTTTCTTGGAATTGGGCCAACGAACCACTTAAACCTGGCAACAGAAAGGGAAGTCGTATTTGTGCATACCGAGAAGCACTGTAAAATCAAAATCACACGAGCACAGCAAGCAAACGGACTGTTTTTGCCTTTTCAAGTCTCACACTTCGTGCAGCGCGCCCTGCATAAACAACCGCGGCAGAGCGTAATTCATGGCAGGTCAGTGCCACAAGTGAAGCAACATCAGATAATCACGCTGAGCCCAGGTCCACCTGAAAGGATTTATCCACGCAGCCGTGTTGTGCCATGAGGATTACTGTATATTACAATCCTACAGCACGTTTCCAGAGAAAGCCCTCACCGGCACCGCCCCAAAACCCAGATTTTTAAGAGAATAACACACTTTATTCCGTGCAGCGACTGTAAAAACCACAGCACGATACACAAGAGCGAGATCGGGATCCTAGAGTGGTTGTGTGGGGCAGGACAGAGCCGTTTACCCGGGTTTTCCGAGATCGACCTATTCATCACAAAGCTGTGGCATGCGGTTCTTGGGACTAGCTTCTGATCATGCGAGATATTTCTAGCTGGGTCTCCTGGTTTTTCCGAGGCTCTGTCCTCGGGTGGTTTCGGCATTGGGATTGAAGAATAACTCACGCGATGACCAAGAGAAATGTTGATCCCACGCTTGGGAAACACCTTTATGTTTTTGACGGTCCATTCAAACAGGCGCTAACATTCGGGCCCAAACTGCTAATGCAAAACAACACACAGGCAGTGGCCAACAACGGCGATGAACCAAAAAAACAAACACTCGAGGAAGGCAAACTGTTCAATCAACACATGATTAATAGATGAGTTCTGCACCCAGGACCTTCAAAGGTGGGTGCTATATAGTCCAAAATGTTCTTTGTTTTCTGCAGGTCTCATGAGTGCGTGAGCGTTGTGTCTTTCTAAATTGCGGCAATTAATGTCTTTCTAATCTGCAGCCATTCCTAGATTATTGCAACACGACCTCTTTGCCGAGCCCAGCCTTGTTTAGTTTGTGTGACCTCACGGCGCTAGAGCACTGTTGGCACGACAAAGGCGCGCCGACGGGTTAAACAGGATTCTCAGCTGGAACGAAGGGAAAATGCGAACAGTATTATATGACATCGAAGTCACGAATGGAAAAAAAAAATTCTGTTCCTGCCAGTTTGAAATGGGCATTCATTTCAGCTCTTCTTTTTGAGGTGGGGGTGGAGGGGGTGCTGTCATGAGTCAGACAGGAATATTTTATAGAAACAGGAAGAGAGGACAGCTTCAGCCGACTTGCAGTTTTTACAGTACGTCTCAAGACACATGCAGGGGAACATACAGTGTACGGCACATCCAAGACATGCGTCTGATGTCCCTATGTTAGTGCCAGTATCAGTGGACTTTAAGATTTGTATCAGTATAGATACGATACACCTGTCACGTCACTGGAAGAATATCCAGAATTAGTGTGGAGGACGCGTGATCCCTGGAACTGGGACCTTTGAGCTGTGTTTCGGTGTATCAGCTGACAAGACGCTCAAGGGAAGTAAGTATACACAGGGACTGGCCATGCGGCGTCAACGTGAGCAGTCAGAGCCAATACGCAAAGAAGATGACACAGAAAATGTGTTTAAGAGTACTTAGACCCCTTAAGAAGTTTTTTTTAAAAACATGTAAGGATAAAAGACGTAAAGGAGGTAACAGATAGCCGAAACTGCTGTGTTAATTATTCTGAGACAATGAAGGTTGAGCGGTTACGCGTTGTCTTCTAGGAGTGTCATCTCACATTTTCCAAGCAAAAGGAATCTATATTTATATACAGACAAATCCCTATACTGCACCCTACTCATTCTAATGTGGAAACAGCGCTTGCAGTTTTAACTGTTAGTGTCTTTCAGCTGTGGAAGCGAAAAGAAGAAGTCTGTCTTGTGAGTCACTGAGTTACAGCCGTTCTGTTTTCAAATGACAAGATGCGACTTCTTGAATTTCTGCAGTTTCCTCCCGGCCGCAGTTCAGCGATGAAGCACAGATAACGGCGTCGATAAATTCACTATTAACGTGCTAACGTTATCACGTTTGGGGTTAATTATGCTTTTGTAACTAAGTCCTGCAGGCATCCCGTTGAATGTGCAATAAAATTCGAGCTTTTTATGATTAGTCAACTATTTTATTTTTACCTAGTGTAATCACAAAGCTCCATAAACACGAAAACATTAATACATTTTATGTAATAAAACACAATAAGATCGGACTTCACGACAATGACAGTATACAGTTGTATGCTATATGCCAGCTTTATTCTGAGAAACCTGACTCCTCAACTGATTTGACGTAAGAGTCATAGAGCACCAAGGCTTTCTTAAAACAGAACAAACACTGCTTAACATTTGATTTCACGGGAGCGTCACGAGTGTCTCGAACAAGCTACAACCCCGAGTTTAGAAGGCGATACTGTAGTCTGCCCTGGCTTTGTTCCACGGAAGCTATCCTCCGATCAATTAGCTCCTAGCAACCAACCAAACAAAAACATTAAAAAGCCCTCCTCTTATTCATGACCGTTCATCTGCTCTAACCGGATCTGTGTTGGGATGAAACGGCATTCATTTTAAGTGGGGACCGACTACATTTGGGCACGAATGAAAATAACAGCAAAATTCATAGGCTGATTAAGGAATGGGGAAAAAAACGTTTGAATCTGAAGACTACATTTCGTTTTCTTTAACTTAAGCCACTTAAATTTATAAAACCTGAAATTACCAAAATTGTTTTACTCAATCCTGTCCGGTTTTTTTTGCCTTTAAAAGGCTTTCATAAGCCAGCTATAAAAGTAAAGCCTTGCGCAGATTGAAAGTCTATCGAAGGAGCAACATGCATTTAAAAGACAGAAGCATACAGTACGTTCATAATGCAGGGCTTTCCTGTAATGGGAGAAGGGAATGCATTCTCAACCAGAATGCCTCTGGATCGAGATCGGAGATCCGTGCTTGGCGCAGCCCATAGAAATATGCGGTCCAAAGTCAGTGCTTCAGCAAATTAACGAGAAATATGCGGCAAAAAGATTTTAAACGGTGTCAACGGTTGTTACCTGTCCCATTTCATGATCAGATAAAAAAATAGATATAAAGGCTGATGAAAATAGCCACCAACGGATCTTCAGGAAACTGCATGTCCACAAGATTTCAAACAGATAATCTGTTCGTGGAAAACTTAAGCACAACAACAAAAGCCACCTGTATCTTTCTACCTGTGAACCGCTTGACCCCTGACAACTCATTGACATCCCTTAAAAAACAGATTTCCGTCTAATTTCTGTTTCGGACATTAAGCAGCAGAAGAAACGGCGCACTTGGCAAAGTTTGTTCAAGGTTAACAGTGCAAGTCCCTTTTTTCAAGAAAAAAAATCATAATAGAGATTCAGAAGTTGATATATATGATGAACATCTACATAAGCCCCACAGACTTAAAAGATTCACATTTCTTCAGTGACTTTCTACTTGTGTGCAAAACCAATTATTTAGCCACATTGCACTTCTGATTTTTAAACTTAAAAACTCTCGTATATGATATAGATTGCATGTGCCCTTGTGTGAACCAGGAAGGAAGTGGAACAACTGATTTTTACACGTCTGACTAGTGTCCCAGTATTCATCTGAACAGTCGCTACAGACCCGTGAGCTCTTGATGAAATTAAGTGCGTTTTGCTACTCAAGAGAAGTACTGTAGGAGCTCAGGCTGATCAGTAAAGACAGTCAGGTGTCTAACCCAGGGCAAAGTGATGTCAAAATGATTGAAAAGTGGAATATTGATCTTTATTCCACCTTCATTTCAATTCACTTTTAATTCCTACCAGATCTATTGCTGTGTATCTCTTGTATCTATAAAAGGACTGCTTGCATAGAACTCAGTGGTATATTCATTTTTTAGCTGAAGGCCTCAAATTATAAAAATCTCAGGGTGGCACTTTCACAAGTCTTAGTCTTTAAGGAAATCTGTGTCGAAACACACACCGAAGAAATATTACAACATGCAAGAATTATCGTTTAAAGAAATCGAAAACAC